CGTTTCTATTTCGACGACGAGCTCTCTAGACACCTCTACTCCACCATCCCACCCCGCATCTTCTCGCTCGGTATTCCGAATCCGCTCTAATGACATCCCTAAATGGAGGCATGCTCGTTCTTTTCGGCCCCCAGTCTAGCTATAGCTATATCGTTTTATACGAGTTTCCTCTCCTTTCTCTCCTCCTCTTTTGTATCTCTCACTTCGAGATACTCTTTTTTAAACGCTCCACGGCTTCGGTAAAACTTTCGAAATTTATGAAGCGTGCTCCTCCCGATGGATATTGTACCTCTTATCCTTATCTTTTTCTTCTTCTTTTTGTTACAAGTGCAAAGTTGGAGACAGTTTTTCTCGAAACGTTGTAAGGAAAGCGGTTATGTATAAATTTAAGTACGTCAAACCTTTATAACGAAGAAGCGAGAAAGAGAGAGAGAGAGAAAGTATTCGAATAAATTTTCGAACTCGCGATCGAAGAATCGATCGACGGGGAGGAAAGTTTCGGTCCCGAAGGTTAAAGACGACTTCGATTAAGTTAAACCCCTTTGGNGAACTTTGGAGACGCTTTTGCGCTGCTTTACTTTCATCGGGTGAGGAGGAGAGAGGGGGTCGCCTTCCACCCTCAACGCCGAATAAACTCGAATAAACTCCAATATCCCCCCTCCTCCCCAACCTCGTATATCGAGATTCATCGAGCGGAAACGAGCTCCTTTCTTCGCTGATGTGACCCTCCCCCTCTTCCACCCATCGAACGCGTATTGCCTCGGATCTCCCATCGACGCTTTGGCACCTGCATCCGCACCGTTAACCCCGATGATCACCGTGCAGGGATCATTGTTTCTCACATCCCTCGACGCGATGGCCCCAAGGATCGTTCCCTCCCTTCTCTTGGCACGCGAAGAACGTGGAAGAACGAAAGGGACGAGAAGAAGAAGAAGAAGAAGAAGAAGAAGAAAGGAGGAGAAGGGAGAAGACGTACGCGCGACAAAAGCGTATACCTACGTGGTAGAGGTAACTTCTAGTTCAAGGTCAAGCCGCATCATGCGAGATTCGCGTAACTCGTTGGTTAACCTAAGTCATCTGGTCTAGAGAGGGGGGCGAATACCGAAAGAGAGAGAAGAGGAAACGCAAGTTCGGGGTTCGTCGATGCGGAGTGGAAGGGGTGCTAGGAATGGGATGAGAGGCAAGGGGTTTCGGGATCAATACCATGCGTTTATCCGTCTCTCTCTCTCGCCCTTCCCTCCGAGGCACACGAGAGAACCGCGAGACATAAACGCGCGAGCAAGAGAGAGACGGAGGAAGAGGCTACGGGTCGGAGAGAGAGAGAGAGAGAGAGAGAGAGAAGCATCCTCGTTCGAGCTTTCGGTAGGCCGCTATTCTTTGACGGACACGAAAGAGAGAGAGAGAGAGAAGATGGAGAAGAGGAGGAGGAGGAAGAGTTGGGTGTTTGGAAGACGAAGAAGAAAAGGTGAGGGGTGAGGAAGCACGAAATTCTAGAGTACCAAAATATAGTGGGGAGGTGGGCCGAGGAGGTGGAGATGGAGGGCGCGCTTTAGGAGTTCTTCTAAAGCGGGCAAAGACCTTCCCCTCCTTCCCCCCCCCTTGCTTCTTCTCTTGCTCTAGCCAGGCCAGCCAAGATGCATCCGCGAAATTGCAGAGTCGGGTGAAACAGGCGAGGTGGTGGCTGGGTGTGCAGCGCCTCCTAGCTACTTCTACTACTACGCCGGGTCGCGTAGGTGCTTGCCTTCTTCCGTTGCCATTGCTCACGAGTGGTCTCGTAAAAAATTTAAGATGTCCTCCTCCTTCTCTTCTCGCTCCTACTCTGCTCTCGTCCTTCTCCGTTCCCCCTCTCCGTTCCCTCTCTAGCCAGGTTAGAAAATCCGTAGTGCCTCTTTTCACCAGCCTCGGCTCTTTCAACTTTTTGACAAGAACCGGTAGCAATTGCCGAAAACAGTTTCGCGTCTCGAGAGAAAGAGAGAGAGAGAGAGAGAGAGGAGAGGGTGAAGAGAAGAGCTATGCGGAAGAGCGGCAGCTTTCAAGGGGGAGGGAGGTTTAGTATATATCTTGCCTTCCTTTGATAAGCCACGATTTCTCATTTTTTTCTCTCTTTTTTTTTTTTTTTTTACTTTTTACTTCCTTCGAAGCAGATGTAAACACGATGAGGATCGTCTAGCAGCGAGGTCGCTACCACTCCGGAGGTGGTTGGCCACCTTCTTCAGCGTGCAAAGGCCTCGCTCTTTTTTTCCTATTCTCTTCCAACGTAGACTTTCCTTCCAAGTGGCCGGCTCACGATGGATCCCGCCAAATTGCAGATTTCGGCAGCCAAGAGAAGGCCTGGCCCTCGAGAGGCTCGTGAAAATTTTAAGCCGTCTCTAATAGTACTTGAACAGGTGCAACCGTGGTAGACTATACAATCGTTCGCCACTGCGTCTAACGAGCACTTCTTCCTCCCGTCGATGGCGAGAGCATTATAAAACGTCCTTTGAACTTTCGAACGCGGGTGGAAAGAGAGAGAAAGAGGAAAGAACGAATCGAAACATCGACATTTAAAATTTTAATCCGAAACCTTATTCCATCCCCCTCGATTCGTATCCAGCGGTTAAAACCCGGTCGGTCAACGCGTCCATCTCGTCCATAAAATACGACGCGAATATTTCAACGTTTCGATCCTGATCGTAAATCCTGACCTGGGTTTGTTTTCGTTTTTCGTTACTCGGGAAAATGAAATCCTCCCCCTCCTCCCTTCGATGACGTTTCGAGGAAAGGATCCTCCTCCTCCTCCTAGGAATTCTCTCCAACCTCTCTCTCTCTTTTCGCATCGCTTTTTCCTCTTCCATCCGGACTCTCTTCCGTCTCGTACTCCGACTTTTCCTCCCAAGTTTCGTTGCTTCTCTTCTCGCGTCATTGGGTTCCGCGACCGCCTCGGGACAAATTCTATTTCCGCTTGAATTTAAGACCCTCCGGAATATACGGATTTATTTCACGGCTGCACTCGGTAGAGACGAGTTGTAAGCACGGTGGATGGGGAAGGGGAGCGGAGAACGGGGGAGGATAGAGGAGCGGCGGATAGCAGAGGGTGGAGGAGGAGGAGGAGGAGGAGATTTTACTTCGGATCCGAGGAGACTCGTAAACGTAACAAAGGGGAGACGCATAGTTCGGAGGAGGAGGGAAGAGAAAAAAGGAGAAGAAAAAAGAGATATATAGAACGGAAGATGGAAACGAGAGGGAGGAGAGAAAGTTATATACTCGAAATTATTATACCTTGGGCGATCGACGCTCGCTTTTTTATTTTCCAACTCGTTGTTACTCTTCCAACTTTTTCTTTTGATCGGTGGTTCGCGCGACGAAGCGACCCTCGAAAACCAGACCTCGCGATTTGTCCGCGACAAATTCTATTTCCGATCCGGGAATGCGGGGAAGATCGAGCACGAAAACACGGCGACGCGTTTAGATTTATTTCTCAAGAATTTTCGCCCCGAATCTTTCCTTTTTATTCAACCACCATGTTGTTATACAACCACCGTCGAAAGTGGTTACGAATTTAAAA